TCTAGAAAGAGTACAGAGAAGAGCAACAAAGATGATTAGGGGACTGGAGGCTAAAACATATAAGGAACGGTTGCTAGAATTGGGTATGTCTAGTTTAACGAAGAGAAGGACAAGGGGGGACATGATAGCAGTATTCCAATATCTCAGGGGCTGCCATAAAGAAGAGGGAATTAAGCTATTCTCCAAAGCACCTGAAGGCAGGACAAGAAGCAACGGGTGGAAACTAATCAAGGAGAGAAGCAACCTAGAACTAAGGAGAAACTTCCTGACAGTTAGAACAATTAATCAGTGGAACAGCTTGCCTCCAGAAGCAGTAAATGCTCCAACACTGGAAGTTTTTAAGAAGAGACTGGACAGCCATTTGTCCGAAATGGTGTAGGGTTTCCTGCCCAAGCAGGGGGTTGGACTAGATGACCTCCAAGGTCCCTTCCAACTTTACTATTATTATTATTATTATTATCGATCATCGCACAGTCAGCCAGATGTTCAGACTGGATTTGGCATTTTGTCTACCTATCGAGTCCTTACCCAGGACCTGGGATAGGCAGATGTGGATGTTTGATGGTATTACAGATATCGTCGCAGGATGGAAGCAGTTCCTAGTAAGGCCGCCTTTTGCAATTGACTAATAGCGAATTTGTCAATGCCAATGGTGTTCAAGTGGTGCTCCAGTTGTTTTGGGATTGCACCCAAGGAGCCTATGACTATTGGTACTACCCTTGCTTGCTTTTGCCACAGTCTTTCTATTTCTATTTGTAGGTCTTTGTATTTTGTTATCTTCTCCAGTTCTTTCTCTTCTATTCTGCTGTCTCCAGGCACTGCCACGTCCACTATCCAGACTTTTTTGTCTTTCTTATCGACAATTGTTAAGTCTGGGGTGTTATGTTGCAGGTGCTTGTCTGTTTGAATTCTGAAGTCCCAGAGCAGTTTAATTTTATCATTTTCTATGACTTTCTCTATTTTATGATCCCACCAGTTTTTGCTTACAGGCAAATGATATTTTTTGCAGATCTTCCAATGCACCATTGTTGCTACTTTGTCATGCCGCTGCTTGTAATCAGTCTGTGCAATCTTCTTGCAACAGCTTACCAAGTGGTCCACTGTTTCTTCAGCTTCTTTGCATAGGCGGCACTTACTGTCTGTTGCTGTCTTCTCAATTTTGACTTTGTATGCATTTGTCCTTAAGGCTTGGTCTTGTGCAGCCAGAATTAGTCCCTCGGTCTCTTTCTTCAATTTTCCTGCTCTTAGCCATTGCCAGGTCTTATTATTATCTGCTTTCCCAGCTATTTTTTTCATGTATTGGCCATGTAGTGCTTTGTCTTCCCATGCCTCTATTCTGTTCTTCATTTGGTCTTTCTTGTAGGCCAGTTTGGTCTCTCCAGTAGTTAGTAAGCCTTCCTGATATACTAATTTCAGTGCATCTTCATCATTGTTCTTCAGATATTCTTCCAAAGCCATTTTTTCTTCTTCAACCATCTGATGTACTTGTAGCATTCCACGCCCACCTATTTGCCTTGGTAGATAAAGTCTATCAATGTCACTGCGTGGATGAAGGGCATGATTCATTGTCATTATTTTTCTGGTCTGCCTATCCATTGCTTTTAGTTCTGCTTGAGTCCAGTCCACTATTCCAGCTGTGTACCTAATGACTGGGATTGCCCAGGTGTTGATTGCCTTTATGGTATTTCCTCCATTGAGTTTGGACTTTAAGATCTTCTTCACTCTCTTGATGTATTCACCTCTAATCTTTTTCTTGACTTCAGTGTGCTTGATGTTGTCAGCTTGAAGGATACCCAAGTATTTGTAGTACTCTTCCTCATCCAGACTCTTAATGTTATTTTCGTGGGGCATCTTGATTCCTTCAGTTTTCACTATTTTTCCTTGTTTGATAGTAAGTGTGGCACATTTGTCCAAGCCAAACTCCATTACAATATCTTGGCTATATATACGGACAGTGTTGAGCAGCGATTCTATTTCAGATGATGTTTTTCCATACAGCTTCAGATCATCCATGTAAAGGAGATGGGATAGTCTGGCAGATGTTTTTGATGTTTGATAGCCATGTCCTGAGTTATTCAGTATTGTTGACAGAGGAAACAGTGCAATAACAAATAGTAATGGTGATAAAATGAATCTCCTTGAAATATTCCTCTCTTTATATTAACCTCTCCCAGTCTCTCACCATTGATCTGCAACTGTGTCTTCCATTGTGCCATCGATCTTTGCACAAATTTTCTGATGTTTCTACTGACTCCTGTTATTTCTAGGCACTTTATTATCCAATCATGTGGCAGAGAGTCAAATGCCTTTTTGTAGTCAATCCATGCCACATTCAGGTTGGTCTTCCTTCTCTTGCAGTTTTCCAAGATCATTTTGTCTATTAGGAGTTGATCTTTTGTTCCTCTGCTATTGGGGCGGTTTCCTTTCTGCTCAGGTGGAAAGAGATTGTTTTCAACTAATGCTGTTGTACTGCATCAGCTACCACACCAGTTAGTAATTTGAAAGTTGTTGGTAAGCAGGTAATTGGCCTGTAGTTACCTGGTGTTGCCCCTTTTGCTGGATTTTTCATTATTAGGTAGGTTTTCCCAGTTGTTAGCCACTTTTCAATTTCTCCTCCTTGTAGTATATTGTTGAACTGCTTGGCAATGAGTGGGTATATAACAGTTAGATGTTTCAACCAAAACCCATGCAGTTCATCTTCACCTGGTGCTGACCAATTTTTGATTTTCTTTGCTCTTTTTTCTACCATTTTTGTTGTTATTACTAGTTCTTTCATTTCAACTTCTGTTTTATTTGCATCCACCTCTTTTAACCAAGCTGCATCCTTTTTGTATTTCTTTGGGTTTATCCCATATCTGCTTCCAGAACTGCACTGTTTCTTCCTTGTCAGGTACTGACTGATTCCTTGCAGTTTCTCCATTGATGGATTGGTAGAAACGTTTCTGATTGGATTGAAATTGGAGGTTCTGCCTATAGTTTGCAATTCGAGCTTCATATCTACTGATTTTCCTGGCTATAGCTGTTATTTGTTGCTTTATTATTTCCAGTGCTTCCTTGATCTTCCTTGTTTCTAAGTGGTATTTCTTGATTAGGTATTCTTTGGTCTTCTTGTTCTTCAGCTTCTTTTCTTTCATCTGTTCTAGCTTGCTTGCATGTGATCTTAACTTGCTGATCTTATTTTCTAGTCTAACTTCCATTTTTCTGGTGCACTGTTTGTTTGTTTTTCTTCTTTGTTGATTTTGCATCCCAGGTATTCTGTTATAACTGCAGCTGTGCTGTACATTAGTTGGTTTGTTTCTTGCAATGAATTGGTGCTTATACTTGATATTGCAATATTTGCATCTTTTAATGCTTGTGCTAGCTGTTTCTTTGGAACAAGCTTCAATGCAGGTAGCCTTATTCTGTTGTTTTTGTGCTGTTCTAGATGCTCAGTTATTCTTTTGTTTCAATTCTTTTTATTTCTTTAGTTAGAGGGTTTTGTTCTTCCTGAGGTAGAGGTGCCTGTTTCCAAATGAGTTGATTTCTTTGCCCTGGGTAAACCTTTGCAGTTCGTCCAATTCTGTTTCTGTGAATATTTTATTTCGTGTTATAAATCGGCGTTGATCTGCTAGCTCTGTTCTGTTATTTCTGATTCTGGATGTGTTCTTTCCAGAATTGGTGCATTCGTTTTAGATATCCTCTTCTTGTTGGACTTGATCTGTAGTAACAGATCATTATTTCTTTGTTTTCCATCACTGTGTATCTGCGACGGGTAAACACCTTTTCTTCCAGTAGTTCTGCAGCTGCTGGCCCTGGTTGCTCAGCCAACAGTCCTGAGTCCTGTAACCCATTTTTCACCAGATATCCAGGAACTCCAATATCTAGTGCGGACCTTGTTAACCCGGGCGACGTCCGAGCCGGTATGGCATTCTGAAATTTACGTCTCACCATATTTTTTATGGGAGAGACACTCTTTGTCTGACTCCTCTGATGAGACCTGTCCAGTATGGTTGAACCTCTGGCATAGCTCTCATCTTCCTCAGAGTACACAAGCCCCACAACCACGTCAAGGTAGTGCCTCACTGGGGGGGTAGTGTTGTTGTTGTTGTTGTTGTTGTTGTTGTTATTATTATTATTATTATTATTATTATTATTATTATTATTATTATTATAGAAAGGAAATGGTAATCTGCACCAAAGGAAGAAAATTGAGGACAATGGTCTGCCAGTCCGAGAGATTGCCAACCAAGTGTTAATTAATGTCTTTACTTAACTCTACAGGAGATAAAAAGGAGAATTAGAAATAGCTGTCTGCTGTAGAGACATATAATGATGGCCTGGGAGGGAAAGGATTAAATTTGCAATACTAGTACAGATAGCAATAAATCACTCCTGGATTCCAATTCCTTTACGGCTGAAACAGAAGAGTGGATGATGAAAAATACTGGTTTAACTGTCTGATTATAATACTATTTATTTATTTTACTCTGCCTTTATTGCTTGTACAATTATTTTTATAAATTGCCCAAGCTGGCAAACATATAATTAATCTTTTTCCTATCTCTGTGTGATTCAACTGGGTGGCTTTGGGCCAATCACTCTCTCTTAGCCCAACCCACCTCAGAGGTTTATCTGAGTGATTGGTCCAAAGAAGAGTAGGAGGCATGAGTACTAGGTGTGTTTGCTGTCTTGAGTTATTTATCCTGTCTTTATAATTTTTTTAAAAAAGTAATAAAGGCAGGACAAAACAATAATTGTTTTAAAAAACCCAAATCTGACTCAGTTTGCTGGTTTGCATAATGTATTTAACCTCAGCAACATATGGAAAAGTAAGAAATTATGACTTGCTAACACTATTTTTTTCAAAATAAAATAATTAATAATAAAATGAAAAGAAACATTTGGTAGCAAAGAAGGAAGAATTTACGTTTGATCTCTACAATAGTAGCCAAGCAGTACAATCTGTTGAAAAATCCTACGGGAAACCCACCGTAATGCATGAGAACCACCCAGAAGCAAAATTATGTCTTCAGGCATAGTTTATTTACTTAATAATTTCCATATATTTCAGCAGGGTTTTCACCGGTTAATAATTTCCTCAGCACATTTTTCATAAAAGTATTTCACCATTAATATTGGCTTTTTATACAGCAAAGAAAAAGTATTTCTAACCCTTTGTGTCCAAGCAGCACTGACGCAATTGCATTGCCTCATCATATAATGCACGGCGGGGGGGGGGGAGAGAGAAATCTTCCTTTTGTGACTGAGCTGGAGCAGGAAACAAAATCATTTCAGTAAAGCGCTAGTAGATGATCATTCGATTGTTAGGGAGAAAAGTAACATAGTACAATAGTCCTCCAGAAAATGGACAATCAAATAACCATCACATATTTTTCCATCTGCACATGTAAAATACCTGTTTTGGACATACGTTCAGCATTATATGCATGAGCAACAGTAAACCTTTGGAACAAGTTTGTGGAACTTTAAAAAGAAATAAATGCTCTCAAGCCAGGTCATTCATATAGTCTGAAGTAATTATAATTATACAAAAGAAGTCATCCAAGGTTTGCTGCTGTTTTAGAGTCCAGACATAGATATATTGCCAAATATAATTTTCCTTTTTAAAAAATCTGCACAACTTTTTTTTTTTTTACTTTGAATAAAAGTTTAAACAACTTACAAATTGAGCACAGCTGGACTAGGAATAGAGCCTCTTACATGATCAGAACATTCAGGAAAATATAGCCCCTTAGTGAACATGTATGTTCACACTTTGGTTCTGAACAATATATTTTTGTTCCCAGAAAACTGGTGAAGCCAGTGAAAAAATAAAACAATTAAAAATAAAAATACAGTTTTTTAAAAAAATCAGTGTTTTGTTTGAGTTATTGAAACTATTACAAACCATATGTGCAGGAAAGCAACTTTTAAAAATATATATATCCTGCAAATGACAGAACTATGTTCGTTTCCACTATGATTTGTTTTGATTTTTACTCCCATAAATAAATGTTCCCTAAATATGTGTGGAAGTGCAATCACAACTATGATCTCAAGTCCCAGGACAGTGCAATCAGCTTTTTAAAAATCTAATTCTTACTGAGCTTCTGTTGAAATTTGGACCACATACTGTACATTATTTTGAATATGCATTGAGAAATCAGATTCAGCATAGCTAGTTCCTATTTTCTTAATCTCATGTGATTTTATCCATACTGGAAATCTTAAAAATGTTCATAATATAGTAAAAGTATGAAGTAATTCATGTGTTGGAAAAGTGGAATAGCCTGCCTCCAGAAGCAGTAAATGCTCCAACACTGGAAGTTTTTAAGAAGAGCCTGGACAGCCATTTGTCCGAAATGGTGTAGGGTTTTCTGCCTGAGCAGGGGGTTGGACTAGATGACCTCCAAGGTTCCTTCCAACTTTACTACTATTACCATTCACTTAATGACTACAATAAAAATGATCATAAAATTGGGTTCAGTCATGTGATAACTGTTTTATAATTGCACCAATTTAGAATGGAAATTCTGGTCCAACTGTGGTCATAAGTCCAGGACTAACTGTATGTTTTAATATAATGCCTACAGGTAGATGTTGGGTAACAACAGTAATTGGGACAAAGAGCTCCATCACTAAGCAACACGGTTATAAACTGTGTTACCTGGCATTTCCATTTTAGGTCATTAAGCAAATCCTGTTAGCTTTGATGTCACATGATCACCATTTGTGACCTCCTGCTGGTTTCCCCATTGACTTTGCTTGCCAGAAACCAAATGGCAATCACATGACTGCAGGACACTGTAGTGTCGTAATTGCAAGCTAATTGCCAAGCAATAGCAATAGCACTTAGACTTATACCACTTCATAGTGCCTTACAACCCTCTTTAAATGGTCTACAGAGTCAGCATATTGCCCCCAACAATCTGGGTAATTTTTTTTACTGAAGGATGGAAAGTTGAGTCAACCTTGAGCCCATCAGGATCGAACTCCAGGCTGTGGACAGAGTTAGCCTGCAATACTGCATTCTAACCACTGCACTCCCAGGCCAAACACCCAAATTGTGATACTGTCACCTCCAGAGATGCCACGACAGCTGTAATTTGAGGGTCAACTGTAATTTGCCTCATTCAGAAGTGTCATAACTTAAAACTGTTGCTGATCGAGTGGTTGTTAATCAAGGACTATCTGTATTTAGAACATATATCACTGAATATAGTACATCTAGTTTTTTAATATGCAAAAAAAGCTTCCTTTTTCAAGGTCAAACCAGTAACCAATTTAAGGGATGCGGTTACTTGTTACAATTCTTTAAGGCATTAGATATTCCCATTCTGCTTCCCAAGGTCTTTAACTGGAAACACTGGGAACTAAGCTAGGAACTTACATACTCTGTTATTGAGCCATCCTAATTACTAGCCTGGGTATTTCTTGAATTGCAGATGCATGTTTTTCCTATGCAGAAAAAAAAGAGTAATATAAAATAAGCATAATAAAACTAAGAATAAAAATGGTTCTGTTAGAGTTGCTAAAATGACATATATGTGTGGATTTTTTCTGCTGATTTCATATTGAACTATCATTACACAGCAGTAGGCTGCTTTGTGACTATTAAGGAAATGGGCCTGGAATAGATAATGAAAAGATAATGGCCTCTTTTTGAGTAAATATTTTAAAGTATGTCATTAAATTACATCATACTATCCGTAATGGCCATATCCAAAGAATTGTTTTATGTGTGCCTGTTTTTTTTGTGCCTGAAATGACTTTTTAAAAAAATATTTTAAAGTTGAGCATTAAGTTTGACATGCCATTCTAAGTTGTTTCAAAAAGCTGTTTTTGAAAACTATGTCTATTTTAAGAACAGGTTGCCTAGAGTGTAAATGGGTATACTCAAGAAGTATACGTGCAAAGTTCTCTTAAGCAAGTGTTATAGCTGTGATTGGTTTGGATTCTAGTTAAGATCTCCAGGCAGTCAATTCCCTGGCCTGGAAATAAAGGGGGAAAGTATAAAACAAAGCCAATAAGGAATTATTCTCCCTGAATCAAACCCAGGGTTCGGAATGTAAGATTATTCCATAAAAAATTTTTTTGAGAGAGTAGCTGATGCTTTCCTGGTCCCACAAGCATTTTTTACTTGTTTTTCTTTAGTTTTTAGAAAACAACAGTAGAAGCCAACTTTCCCAGTTTCTCTAGTGTTTTGGCTAAACAGCATTGCCATTACAGTGAAAATCTTCACAGTTTTTAAAGCTTTTAATCACACTTTAGAAAAAGTTTGGAAAGCAAGACCAAAGTACCTAAACACTCATGAGCAAAATAAAATAAAATAACTCTATGGAATCCACTGATAATTCAAAGCTCAGGTGCCTTTAAACCACAAGAAGTACTGTCCAGTTATTGTAACATGAACCATTGTGACATGTCTGAATATTAATTTCAAGTTGAATTGTTAGAAGAATTGACTTCTGAGAAAAAAAGTTTGGGCAGAAAAGGGTCCTTTTTCAGCTGCTGCTGTGGTAGTTTTAAAGAAAGCAATGCCAGTCTAGGTTTAGAATGGATATTGTGATACATAAATCCTCAGTCGAATGACAGAACTTCCTCTGAAATTGATGACAGTGTTAACAGTGACCATCTCCAGGTCCAACACAATGTCACGTGGCCCCTTCAGAGGACGAGTCATCACAAGCGTGGCACTGATAGGTCCAGTTTGCTGTGTGGAGAAAGCCAAGGAAAGATGTTGAAGTATTTCAAGCATAGCATGTGGCCAAAAGCTGTCCTCTTAAATATATATAACAAAATCGTGGCTCTGTTGTATAAGATTTATTTTTGTTGGTGACTCAAGACTATGGCCATAATCACTACGGAGAACACTTACAGCAAATCTTGCCAAACCAGAGCATGGTGATGGTGGTGATCTAGAATGTATTGGTTGGGGGAGAGTGGTCTGAATCTGAACTGAGTCCTGCACCAGCAGTTTTACTGAAAACAAGTTGCCACTTCACTTCTGTGGATCTAGTGTTGGATAAATACTGTGTGAATGCAAAGGGCTATTGACTGCTGCCTTTTCTGGTTGTGTTTTTGATTGACTTTATTTTTTAATTGCTGCTAATGTTCTGCAAGAATTGGAGTAGCAAATAGGATGGATATTTCCCTGCCTTATGGGGAATGAACAGATTGGGAAAATAGCTCAAAAGAAAAGAGTCTGAGATCAAAAGACATAGGAGGGTGGATTATATTATTTAATAACTGATTATTTAAACTACCAATTTTTCACCTGATTTGGTTCCCAGTAGGTGCAACCACTAGAAACAATAGAACCAGTCTTGGTTTTCAGAGATTGTAGAAATTTAGTCTTAAAGAAATAGGTGTCTGAATTGTTCCCCTTGCTTCTTCCTTCTTTCCACTGATGGAAGCATTTGAGAGGGCAGAAACTGCTTTATCAAAGGCCACTTAAATCTGGAGTAAGGCTGTTGTAAAATTGCATTCCCATCTAGCCCTTCATGAAGCCTTCTTGGGAAGAAGACTTTAATTCACTGTGTCACATTCTGGAGTGAATTGGGGTTCTCTCTTCTGCCTCACTGCCTATTCTACAGTGCTCAAAAATAAAATGATTATATTGAGTAAGTTGGAAATTCCTGGGAACTAACGCCTTTTTCCCAGTTAGCATATAGCTCCCTGAAAAAGTCACAAACAGGTTTTTGTGGAGATAACTTCCATGTTTGCTCCAGTGCTTGCTACACTGCTTGTGAATGTCTGAAACTGCTTTTTACTTTATTTCAAGTAATGGCACTCATCTAGCATTCTTTATAAAATGAATACTGTATTGTTGTGATGATTTTACTGTTCAGATAGGCAATGTAAGCAAATGTATAAGACAGGCTACTAAATATATTATCATTGTATAACATCATGGTGTTAATGATGATTTAAACATAATACAGTGCATTATAGTGCTGAGTGAATAAGCACCAGTTCACGAACAAAGTTTAAGTTATAAAAATTTTCAAAAGTATAATTTTAAATTTTTTTAAAATTTTAAGATGTAAACTTAAAAACCTCTTAAAATAGTACAGATTATTTTAAAAAGAAGATAATGAAAGTGTCTATTTGTAAATCTCACTCACCCGCATATAGAATTCTCTGCCTTCATTTCCTGATTTAATCTGAAAGATGTAGTAAGCCCCAGGGTAGCGAGAGGTTGCTTGCATCTGAAATACATCGGAGGGCACAGTACGTCCTGATACATCCATGTCTCTGTACAAGATGGTGAATGGCTGGTCTCTACAGCTAGGGTTTTCAGTTGGACATATACAATGACTGCCAAAACAAAAGAAGTATTATTATTATTATTATTAATTATCTGGTTGCATAGTCAGCCAAATGTTTAGACTGGATTTGACATTTTTGTCCATCTATCAACTTACTGATTTACAAGGACCTTGAATATTTTTAACATTATTTAATAAAGCTTAACACATTTATTATAATGTGCATTATGATGAATTGTTATTGTTAGCTAAAATTTCATACCTATTATTATTTTTGCTGTTATAATCAAATTATTATAAGCAAATAAGAATGCTACTTTCTGTGTTGTTTAACAGCAAACACATGAGTGCTATTTTTATGCTGAGATAGTTAAATCTTAATGTATCTGTTTGGATGTTTTAATATTATATTTTGTATTTTATTGATCTACACATTTTGCAAACAGTCCAAAAATTTGGTGGTAGTGGTGGTTGTTATTAACATATTGTGTATTACATTATCCAGGAGACCACAATGCTATTGCAGGGTAGTTGTTTGGCTACCAATTTACCAGTTCTGTTGTGAGACATGCTTGCAATGGTGCACCACAAAAAGGTGAGCTGGCTTCACACCAGAAAGAAAGACAAACAGCTCTTCTTGCAGCGTTACCCAAGGCCCCTCCCTTCCCTGGAACCACCTTGCAAATGGTGTCACAACTGAGAAGATTCAGAGCTGGCAGGAATCTGGCTTCCTGTACAGAGGACCAACTAGTCTCCCCACCGAAGTAAGGAGTAGGAAGGGGGGATTTATCTACTTGCATATAACAAACTGCTAGGTGGACAGAAGCTGAGGCAAGTGATGGAAGTTCACCCTGCCACAGAGTGCTGGGATTTGAACTGCTGGAGCAAAGACCATCTCTAGCGTCATAAAACCACTAAGCCACCGCGCCTCTCAAAGGCTTGGTCAGTGGATGATATAAAAATATAATAAATAATATATTGCAGAACGTAAAAAGATAGTTTTCATTTCACAAATAAGATGATGACCCTTGTTATAATGTAATATACAGGATAGAAAAAAATGAAAGTAAAAAAAGTATATCAGGTTTATTCCATAATTTATTTAATTTGGTATGCACAAATTATTTGAGCATAAATTAGTGTCAAAATATTTATAGTTTGAATTCATAAATCTAAATTCAGGCATAAATCATTGTCTGAAGAAATATTTTTAAAACGTTATTTTCCATTTCTTTTGTTTCTCTGGGTGTTTAATTATGTATATGACATTGCATTTTTAATTTTGAAAAGAGATTAGAGATGACTTTGCCTTGTAGGGCCTTTAATAGAGTGTGTGAAATAAGCATGTATTAACAACATACTTATGAAATAGCTCTAATTAATTTTAAAGGCAATTGTATATATATCACAGGAGAAGAGAAATGTTATTATTTCATAAGCATTTCTTCTGTTTTAGTTGTAAATAGCTGAGTATCCTGCCACCTGGTGACCGGATAAAGAAGTATTTTTTATCATTGAACATTTCCATTCTGAAAGGAAAAAACTTGAAAGAATGAGTTTAGAATGAAACTATGGAAAATAGCAAACTGTACTGACAAATATTTTGTATATTTGAAAATGCTATTTTAGAAAGACATGCATACTGTAAAAACTGCATTTTTAGATATTGGCTATTTTATATATAACACAGCAAGAAACTGGGTTTGACAATGGCTATGCACTTAACAAGTGGCTATGCAACCCTTGATTTCTTTGGGAAATAAATATTTTCAATCATTGGTCAATTTCACACTGAATTCATCTCTCAAAAATAATGGGAGAATACATTCTAAAATCAAGATTGAACAGGGCTAGCAACCAAAAATAGCAAGTGCAATTTGAAAAATAACCAAGAACTATACTGTATAATGTGCTCCCTGTAGAATATTATTGCCCTAATTTTTTCTATTAATATATTACCCACTTTTCATTGATCCGGATATAAGGATCCTCGCATCTTACTGGGTCTAGGCATTTGAATCCTCCTTGGAAATTAAAACATGTTTGCTGCACGTTACAAGTGTGATTCCCAACCTCACATTCATTAACATCTGAAATGAAGAAAAAACCCAGAAAATATGGCATTATAATAAATATGTTAGTGCACAGTGTTCAGTCATAATATAAACAAAAGTTTTAAAAACCTTGTCGGGCTGTGCCAATAGGATGAAAGACTGGGATCTCCCACTTCTGGGTCTACATATTCTGGTCCTGCCTTCCTGGCTTTGAATAGCAGCCTGGTGGTTTGAGCTGTCAGTTCATACCCTGCAGTGCCTTACTTGGCAATCTCCCTTTAACCCCTTCATTCTTTAAGACTCCACCAATTCATTCTTGGAAATAAAACAACTGTAATGCAACATTCAGATCACAATGATTTATTACACTTTGCTTATTCTTTATACTGAGCAAAATTATAAAGTGCAAGATTCCTGGTTAAAACATTAACCTATATTTATGAAATAAAACAGTCTTGAAATAGCAATAGCACTTAGACTTGGATTCACGAAATTTGAGGCTTTTTGGAAATTTGGGTATCATGGAAGGAAGGATATTCAGGAGAAGTTGCTAGACCAGTGACGGCGAACCTTTTAGACACCAAACTGCAACCCAAACCCCGCTTATTTATCACCGGGTGCCGGGTGGGTGTGGGCGCGGTGGTCATGGCAGACTGGGTGAGCGGGGCCTGGGTGGCGGGGGCCAGTCCCTCACCATCTCCAGGGCACGGCACGTGTGCCCATAGAGAGGGCTCTGAGTGCCACCTTTGGCACGCGTGCCATAGGTTTGCCACCACTGTGCTAGACCAAGCCAGAAATCAGTGGAGTTCCATAGTTTCCCATGGAATTAACTTATTGATTTCCAGGAAAAGGGATAATCCAATCAGAGAGGAAGCAACTGATGTGATTCCTTCGTGTATGATACAAAGTCTGGCTGAGTGTTACAGTTTGTAGTCTGTCACAAAGGCTGGTAAGTTTTAAGTGACTGTTTTAAGAATGCAATTTGCAATAGTCCTATCAGATAGTCCCCTTCCCTGAAATGATACTTAGTATGTTTAGGGGAGTCTTTCCCAAACATTGCCCAATGCTCAATAGTCTTGGGGTATATTGGATTTTAATTCCTGCTATCAGTTAACAATGATAATATCATCTTATATAATCTAACACAGCTGTGGAGAATAACAGATAGGGATGTTGGAAATGGACCATGAAAATTTGGATTTGAATTTCATCACTACAAAGCTTACTGGGCATCCTTAGGGAGTTTATGCACTCACAACTCTAGTGAGACTAAAATGAAATTACACACTAAAGTCTAGAGATCTTCAAAGGTTGGGTGAAATGTAATATGAGAGAAAACAAAACATGTTTCCATTATGCACAACTCTGGACAATGAAGCTTTCTGACGTGTAAGAAAAATAACCGAACAATGATCAATACAGCAGATTTTATAATAGCAGAGGAAAGGAGAATTATTAATAGGAAGAAGAATAAAATGCTTTCTCTGAATTTGTTCAGGAAGTAAGGCAAAAGAGAGATCTCAGATTAGCACCTAGCTGTATTCGTGTGTGCGGAAAGCAGAAGCTGGCACTGGACCTGGCCAAATACGAGGCAGATTGCAACACAAGGCAAGATGAGACCGGCGTAAGGGCCTGGAAGAGCCAGCAACTGAGGATAGGCATCCAAGCGTCAAATGGAATGAACTAGCAATTTAGGCTGTCAGGACTGCATTGGGTCTAGGATGTGTAGACTTCCCTGATGTTGTATGCTATTCGCTAAATAAATAAATAAATCTCTTAAATAAGGAGCCAAGTGGAGGGGTAAAGAGGGAAGGTAGACCTTAACTTTTTATCTACTACCTGCTGCCCACTTGTGGTCAGTAGGTCATGTGCAATTAGATTTGGACTTCCAATACCAAAGGCACTGAATGAACACAGCTTTAGTTTCAATTTTGAGAAGGATTAGATTTCTAAAGAGATTACTTAACATTAATTACAAGAAGTCACATAACGTCTTTCACTTTTCCGTTTCTGATAATTTTTCACATACTGTAGTACTTTAAAAAAAATCACTATATCTCTTTAGCAAACTAAAACAAAAATACTTGTTTTCTTGCTAATTGTTGTTGACAGGCATTGGGAACTAAGAGTTGAAAGATGTTTAGTGGCCTTTATAGCCAAAGTAGATCTATGATCAGCATTCTCCACAGTGTTCATCTGTGCAAGAGAACAAACACTTTGTATAAATGAAATAAGTTTCACAGAAAAGAGAAACATATCAGAAATGACTAGAAGAATGAACCTTAAGAGATCCAAGTGGATTCTGCTTACTCTTGGGGAAAACTTGCATAATTTGTGAAATATCTGGGTAAACTCGTCTACTACACAGTCTAGAAATATATTTTCCAATTTGTAAGCCAGTATATTTTTGGCAAAAAGAAACAACTTTTGGCTGATTATTATATGTTGGAATGTACCAGAGGAGAGGGATATATTCATGATTATTACATTTACTGTAAATAAGATAGAAACTGACTAGGCCAATCTTATATGTAGAAATACTAAACATAAGAAGCAAACTCACCAACCCACTTTGAAATTTCTACAAACTACTAAATTTTTAACTATGTGGGTTTTTTGTCACAGTTTCTAGGAAGATACATAAAAAGAAGTTTTGAAGGCATTGCTTGGACATGGTTTTACTATAAAGAGAAGAATTTAGGAGAGAAGACTATCAGACATCAATAAGGAATCCCTACTTTCGTGATTTGACCACTAGTGAGTAAATTGTGTAATCCATTATGCTTCCACTTATGTTTGCTGCCTTTCAACTGGTCTGTCAATATAACTAGTTGAGTTTATGGACACTTGCAGTAGTTTCCCCTTTCTAGATGGGTTTCATCATAAATTAAAAACTTACTTGTTTACCCAAGCCTTTTATTGGTTTCTGTATTTTCTTTCTTATTACATGCCCTAATTACTGTTTTTAGTATTTTTTATTAATTTATTTTAGTGTTTTAATCATTTCTGAGTTTTTGTGTTTCTATTGTAATTTCCCCCTATTTTTAGTATATTTTTTGCTAATTTCTTCAACTTTTTAAATGAAAAGTTGTGCAGAAATACAGCAAATAATTACATTAAAAATGAGCACTTAGTACACACAGCTTTCATAAAAAATGTTATTTATATCCCATTTTTCATTTAGGAACTTAAGGCAGCATGCACAGCACTTCTCATATGTTTCTCATAATATTTTATTTTTTAATTTATCAAGTTTCTACACCATCTCTTGGAATAATAATCCTGTGAGGTAGGTTTGGCTGAAAGAGAGTGACTCAGCAAGCTTGATAGGTACACTACAACTTTTAAGCTACACTAAAAGCTGGGTTTACCTACTCCTAGCCCAACACTTTAATTACTATGCAAGACTGGCTCTCATTTAACATTACCAGAAGTCAGGAGGGTCCACATGATATGGTTAAAAAAAAAAGATCAAGATGATGGTCACAGTGATTCAATCAAAGCTCAGCACATAAAAAACAACAACAGATGGAACTGTGATTATACCATGGTGGCTGACATCTTGACTTTTTAACCATAGCCTGCGGATACCCCTAATAGAGACTGAGTTTTCATTACAAGTCTTATACTATCCTTTCTCAGTTTGGATATAAACGTATGAACAATTGGTTCTCTGTAAATCTAATTATTTATGTTTCACTAGCTACACCAATTGCATTGTTGTTTGGAGGAAGAAAGGCAACAAGCTTATTGATCTTGGCCTCTTCCTAAATAAGAAATAGAAATTTTTTTGAATAACTGGTATGGTATACCCAGATGAAGGCTATGTACTGATTAATCTTATATTTATACCCAGCTTAAACTCAGCAAACAAACAAAAAAGGGTAAGGAAACTACTGAAAAGGAAATTGTATTATAAAAGCTTAGTTCTGCCAAGTAAGTCAATCAACAGATCTTTTGAAATGTGCTCAACTGGAGGGAAGTACTCACAGATGCATAAAGAAAAGTCTTGCAACCACAAAATACTTGCAGAATGTTTTAAAAGGTTCTCTGCTTTCAAAGCTAGTAAATAAGAATGCAGTTACTATAGAATCAGCTTTCTCCATTAAAGTCTTCCCTTTTGGAAAATATGATACAATATACAAAATACAATATGTGTAGAAAAGTATCACAGCATTAGGTGACCTTTAGCTGCTCTGGAAAATAGTTGGTTAGCCAGAAAAGCCATTAACTTTGAAACATTTCTTATTTAGTTATGCTTCAGTGATATTGTGTAATAGCTTTCAATACTATCTTTTTGTAATAAAATTTTCAAAAACTAATTCTCTTAAGCATTACTATTATTACTACTATTTCCAAAAGAGTAACTACTGGCTTATTTGCCCTCTAATTATATTTGAAAGACAAATAAATGGAATATTCTTACCTTGACACCGAGTGTCCTCAACAAGAACGTAGCCAGACGGGCAGAAACAGTAGTAGCTACCTGGCTGATTAACACATTCATGCTGGCAGAGAAATTCTGAGAAGCTGCATTCATCCATATCTAGAAATGTAAGAATATGAAAAAAAAGTTTGCTCATTCTTGATAGAATTGCTATTATTTCTAAAATTGCTATTAGTTAATATAGATTAAAGCTCCTGAAAAACTGTTGTAATGATGCTTCATAACTGCTTGGATTGCAGTTGGAGTCAGGCTCGTAGAAAACCACAAGTACCATGTAATCTTAGATAAGCCTGCATAGAGAAATAACTTTCCATTTTCTTCTGTCTTAATGGCACATTTGTACACATCATATTCATCATTATAATTTCCTGAAATAGTGTTTTTAATCTTCCTAATTATTTTTCTCTGTTCTGCTTACAGAATTCATTCACAAATAAATTCACAATCCATTCACATTTTGTCTACTAATGTTTTGTATTTGTGACTCATGAATCCCTGGAAGAGGAATTCTATTTTGTATAAATTATTCTCTAAAACAGGTTTCCATAACCTAGTACTCTCCTAATGTACCCCATGCTTACTGACAATTTTTGGAACTTAAGTATAACACATTGGAAAACACACAAAAATCTTGTGAACATTAATAATTCACTGTAGGTTCTGCAAAGGGCTACTCAAATAAAGAATTTCACAATATAGCAATGATTATGCAATCTTCACAAAGTTTGATGGAATCCTGATGCAAATTTTTGTTACATAATACATTTGGGGAAAAGAGGCCAAAGCCATTTTAATGCACGATTCAAGTGAGAAAAAAGACTAACAGTTTAAGTCATTAATATTTTGACAATAATAGGGCAGAGGAAACTAAGACAGTCAATTACATTTTCTTTATTTTTGGAGCTCCTGGAATTAAATCTGCCTAGCAGAAATTTATTTCCTGGCAATAAAGAAAATCAAGCCTTCCAGCCTGAAGATGCCATACCTAAAATCATTGACAGCCTAAATCAATTCCCTGGTGGACCATAATCAACCACAATTATATAGATTTTGTTTTACTTCTCACTCTAAGTTTGAGAGAGAATGGCGTTTATATGTGCCAATATTTCTCAATTTATGAATGAAAATGGGGCAAAGGCAAAGACATTTAAGAAAAGAACATTGTTTTAAATCTTTGAGCAAGTTCTATATATTTTTTAATAAAAAGTAATATGAGCATTGAGGTTTGGCACATAGATATAGTAATCCTTGGACTATAACTAATAAAACCAGATTCTGGAAAAACGAATGTAAATTTGTATTTATTATTTGCCCCAATAAGAAAATAAGCTCTATCCTGGATGATGTGTCAAAAATAAGTGTTTAGAATGAGTTGTGTTAATTCTTGATCCAGCACAACATCATGGAAAAAATGCTAATATAGGAAGATGAAGAAAAGTCAGATATCCTTCTTTATGTCTGGATCTTGAAATTGTTTAAAATAGCTTTCTACACATATTCTTGTAGCTTCCAGAAGGCAAAATTAACAGATACTTATAGTAAATTGGAAGAAAGAGAATTCACATCCTCCCTCAATACTCATTTTTTGCGCTGCTTGAGTAAATATTCTCATTTAAACAAGCACAATTGATTTTCAGAATATCATTTTCATACTAAACCAAATGCTTGTGAAAACCAAGAAAACCCCAAACCACAATTTCCCAAATAGTTATATATATTTTTGCTGCTATTCAAGTAGTCATTTTTAGGTATTTTTGTGACAAGAATATGGGCTGATGCTTTTCAGTTTCATTGCTGAAGACCAAGCAATCTGTAACTGAGGATGTTGTGTACCACCAATGCAACAAAATACACATGGCTATAATCCTAGGCATAAGATTAATGTATTTATTTTGGCATAGACTTTCATGAATTAGAATCAGTTATGCAAAATGTTATCTGATTCCCCAAACTGAGCATGAACATGAAGTCAGAAACATGAAATACAAATAATAATTGAATATGAAAATTCAAAAAAAATATTGGGTTATACCAACCAAAAGGAGATTATTGGAGGTGCATTTCTCTTTGTGCTTATAAGTTTTTCTCATTCCCCCCCTACCTCCACGGAAGGATAGACTTAACTAAATATGCTGATATAAAAGAGAGGCTCATTTCTGGATGGCCCTGATGGATAGATGGCTTTGCATGCAGCAGATCCAAAGTCAGTATTGTTCATCTGTGCTCTGTCCCCAGACAAATGCCCAGAGTGTCCTGTTTATAGGGAGGAATTGTTCAGTGCTAATCACCGACAGGAACACTATAAATTGTATTTTTATACATAAACAATTTTTCAGCTGATGGGGACTTCTGACCCATTCTAATTTATGTTTAGAACTGAAATATTTTTAAAACAAAATAAAATTATGTTTAAAACTGAAGAAAAAATGTGCTCTTTGTATATGCTTACAGTTACTTTGTGTGTGTCTTCAAATCAATCTAAACTTCTGTCAACTACATAGTTAAGTCCCTTCAGATTGCTTGACAATGTTCTTCAGAGGTGATTTGCCAATGCCTTCTTCCTAGAGCTAAGAAAAAAGGACTGGCCCAAGGTCACTCAGCTGGATTAGAATTCATAGCTTTCCGATTTCAAGCCCAGTGCCTTGAAATCAAATTGCCCCACTATTAGGTACAGATACATTTTCCATTTGATTAAATTCTCAATTGAGAATTGAGTATTTCTTTCAGAATGCATTCTTCTCCAAAGTTTGATTTCCTTTTTCTAACATTAGATTGTACTGTACTGTGGAATTATTTGAAATTATTGAAGAGTGAATACAGTATATGCCCCTGATCATGTTGCTAATTGTTTCCTAATAATTGCAAGAATATCCTAACTATTATAAGAATTAATTTTCTTATTCATGTCTCAATTTCTGAATTGCTATCTTCAATGTTACAGTGAGAAAACATTATGTGTATTCCTCTCCCCCCAAAAAAGGTTTATTTCCTCCCATAGTCAAAATATTTCACAATAATTTCTACTCACCAGTACAGCTAATGCCATCGGTTTCCAATTCATAGCCCGGATCACAACGACAAAGGAATGAGCCATAGGTGTTGATACAGTTTTGTACACAAGGGTTGTTAGTTGTACATTCATTCACATCTGTGGATAGCCAGTACTTAAAAAATTAATGATCTTTCTCAAGTTTTAATTAATATTTGCAGCTTTGAAAAAATATCTACAATTAATACTGCAATCAAAACTTATTCTTAGATGTTTAAAATAATAATATAACTACTTCCCACTCTCAAAAACTAGGATCCCCCTTTATTTCTGTTTTGTTCTGTTCCAAATTAATCACATACAGTAGTCCAATCTTCATATGGGGATCTGAATTTGTGTTTCTTATTTCCTATTAGTCCATAGATAAGTATCTTCAGCAATGCAACAAACGTTGACTCCATTGATTGGTCTTCCAGATCACCTGTTGGCTAGCCAAATGTAATCAACTTCTGATAAAGATTTATGTCACCATGTAGGTTCTAGTTTATATAGACATTTTATTCCATGTGTTTGGTTTCTCAATATTCTACATGGTTGATTTTCCAATATAATATAATATCAGCTTTCATATTGCTTTCAACTGTTCCAACCATCTTGTGCTCCTGATAGGAGTTTGCAGTGAGGTGGAATAGAGTCATAAGAACTATAAATCATGATTACAGTCTGGCACATGTGTATCAGTTTTTTATTCTGTCTTTTTAAGACATGGTGCCCCCTTTCTTTCTCTCATGTAAGGACAGACATATTTCAGAAACTCAGTTTAGGAAAAACATAGATTAGGGTAAAAGGAAATGTTTCCAATTTTCTCAACATTAACAGCATGGATGCCCAAAGAACATTGGAAACTAGTACAAACTAGTACATGACTGAATATAAATGCATTGTATTGCCCCAAGTACAATAAATTAGCCATTGATGTGGTTTTAAGTATTATACACGCTATTAGAAGTTACTACTATAGTACAATATGTAGTACTGGACCCAGGGGGAATGCAGGCCAATCAGAGAATTCTTGCATCAAGGTAGAACAGGCCAGTTATTTCTTATTTCTAGGCTAAATAAGGGATATTTAATATATTTACAGTCTGGGACAAAATAACAAATGCTTCCTTCTTATCACTTCTGAAATTGAGGGGACATAATACATGTTCTCAGCTTTCTGTCTGCAACTATGCGGGAGATGACCCAATTAGGAAGTCAATTTATATCAAATCAGACTATGTTGTCATTACATTTCATTCAGAAGTGCCTGTTCAGATGGGCAGAGAAGATTTATAGTCAAAAGCAGGAGTTTTTCACATTACCTAATATCTAACAGCTTTTAAATTGAAGATGCCTGGATTGAGTACAGGCAATTCTTGACAATCATTGTTTTAGTGAGTATTTAAAGTTACAACGGCACTGAAAATGCGACTTATAACCAGTTCTCGCACTTACAAACATTGCAGTATCCTCAAAGTCACATGGTCAAAATTTGGGCACTTGGCAACCAGTGTGTATTTACAATGGTTGTCATATCCCAGGATCATTTGTGACTTTCCCAGTCAGCTTCTGAGAAGAAGAGTCAATGGAGCAAGTTGGATTTGCTTAACAACCACATGATTCACTTAACTGCAGTGATTTGCTTAAAATCCATGGAAAAACAAGGTTGTAAAATAGGATGTGACTCACTTAACAACTGCCTTACTTAGCAATGGAAATTCTGGTTCCAGTTATGGTTGTGAGTTGAGGCATACCTGTATAGCATCTTCTGCAGACAAACATACGTTCTGTGTTTCATGCTACTTTCCTAAGGAGTCACAGAGTAAACAAAAGCTCATAGCATATCTCATTGTTTTTAAGAAATGTTGCAGAGTTCATGAGAAATAAACAAATTAAACTCCTGCCAAAATGTTAGGAACAAATAATGTACAAGTCACTCTAGCCTTCCATGCAGAACTTGTGTTTTATAAAGAGTAAGCATCCACTATATGAGGCAAAGGGAGGTATAGAAAAATATTCTTTATGCTCTATTTGGGATTAGACCAATATGGCAAACAAAACTTAATGTATTTTGCAGATGTTTCCTTGTTTATCTATTAATTTTAAGACTCCAACTGTTTAATCATAACAAAAACTGACCAAATGGAGCAGGACACACAAAAAAGAAAAATGTACAAAAGCCAGGGATTGCCACCCACAATAGGATCATTGGGATCATTTTTTTTAATATCCAAGTTTTATTCCCCACCTTCAAGATTAGACAACTGACAGTTTTGCAATGGAAGAACTAGCAGAAAGCATTTTCCCCCAAAGCCTTAAAAAACAAAAACTGTCTGCAAGGGAGGCATTTCATAATTGTACTACACTATAAATTGGCACATATTGCAAAATTCATCTAGACAGCTACTCTAATTGGAGTACAGCTGAACTGCAGTTGGAAAACTGTAAATGCATGCTGGTACAATTATCATCAACACATGATGTCCAGGTAGTCCTCAACTTACAATTGTAATGGAAGCCCGATTTTGCATTGTAAGTTATGATGATCTTAAGTTGAAGCATACACCTGACCAGACTGAATTTTATAATCTTTTTTGCAACAGTTGTTAAGTGAACATTGTGGTTCTTAACTGAATGTGACAGTTAGTAATAGTAATAGTAATAGTAATAGTAGTAAAGTTGGAAGGGACCTTGGAGGTCATCTAGTCCAACCCCCTGCTCGGGCAGGAAACCCTACACCATTTCGGACAAATGGCTGTCCAGTCTCTTCTTAAAAACTTCCAGTGTTGGAGCATTTACTGCTTCTGGAGGCAGCTTGTTCCACTGATTAATTGTTCTCACTGTCAGGAAGTTTCTCCTTAGTTCTAGGTTGCTTCTCTCCTTGATTAGTTTCCACCCGTTGCTTCTTGTCCTGCCTTCAGGTGCTTTGGAAAATAGCTTGAATTCCCTCTTCTTTATGGCAGCCCCTGAGATATTGGAATACTGCTATCATGTCCCCCCTTGTCCTTCTCTTCGTTAAACTAGACATACCCAATTCTAGCAACCGTTCCTTATATGTTTTAGCCTCCAGTCCCCTAATCATCTTTGTTGCTCTTCTCTGTACTCTTTCTAGAGTCTCAACATCTTTTTTACATCGTGGTGACCAAAACTGGATGCAGTATTCCAAGTGTGGCCTTACCAAGGCATTGAAGAGTGGTATTAATACTTCACGTGATCTTGATTCTATCCCTCTGTTAATGCAGCCTAGCACTGTGTTGGCCTTTTTGGCAGCTGCAGCACACTGCTGGCTCATATTTAAGTGATTGTCTACTAGGACTCCGAGGTCCCTCTCACAGTTACTACTATTGAGCATGGTGCCACCTATGCTGTACTTGTGCATTTGGTTTTTCTTGCCTAAATGTAGAACCTTGCTTTTTTCACCATTGAATTTCATTTTGTTAGTTAGTGCCCAGTGTTCAAGTCTGTCCAGATCCTTCTGTATCTGAAGCCTGTCTTCTGGAGTGTTGGCTATTCCTGCCAGCTTGGTGTCATCTGCAAATTTGATGAGTTCCCCATCTATCCCTTCATCCAAATCGTTGATGAAGATGTTGAAGAGTACTGGGCCCAGAACAGAGCCCTGGGGCACCCCACTACACACTTCCCTCCATATAGATGCAATGCATCTATATACACTGCAATACACTGCAATCATGAAGTAAATCCATGTATTTCTATGGGTTGTGGGTTGGTTGGTTTGTTTTTTGCCAGAAACTGCCCTAAAAAATCCTCACCCAGCAAAACAATATCATAAATCATAGTCACATGACTACAGAATGCTGCAACCAGACATAAAGCTGAACTGGCTGCCAAGCACCTGGAATACTATCATGTGACCACAGGGCTATGTGCGGCCATCAGAACTTGGGGAGCAAGTTGTAAATAGCTTTTGGAGGAGTGTTGTAACTTTGAGTGGTCATTAAGTGACCATTCATTAAGCAAGCTCTATATGTACAGCCCTTGGATCTTAAGGCCATAGTAAATTCCCCTGAACCTATTTATATTTTTACTGAAAAATGGTTGTATAGTATTGGGTATTCTTTAACTGCTACAGTATCAAATGTTCAAGAGAAATGTATGTCACTGAAATGGCAACTTCCACCTTACCACAACTCACCAAACTAGGAAGTGATCAATTGAAGGGCGGTTTGCCAAATAGAGCTAATCTCCATTTATGAGCAGAAATCCTGTGAATACAGGTGGGAAAGGAGAAGTTTCACATATAATTCTTTCTTATTTCCTTATATTTATTAGTTGCCATGGTTCATAACATTTATAATGTAGTCAGTTTGAAATATGATTTTTTTTCTATTTTTAAGCCAAATTCATTCCCCTGAAAAACTATTCTATGGCTCAAGACATAAAATGGAATTCTACCAATAAATATTGCTTCTCAGTGCTCATTACCAATGACCCATTTTTGAACTTGCTTAATAACCATTTTATATACAAAATTCAACGTATAATGGCGTAGAGAGTTTTTTCCAAAAGAAAAAAGTAGAGATAAAGAATAAATGTAGAAGATGTAACTTCAGTATATCATTAGAAAGGTAGCAATAAACTTAGAGAAAATAGAGGGGCTGGAATGGCTTTCAGTGCCCAGTAAACATTAAGTCATATGATCCAGGCCTTTCTAGCTGTAAGTGTGAATATGTACATAAAAGTTGGAGTTTAATGCATTTAATTGTTTAATTATGAAAATGCATATTAATATACTTAATTATAGAATAAATACATTATTCTGATGACATATTATTTTCAAAAAGGGGAAAAAGATATAAAGTTGCTGGGATAAATATATTCATAATGTTATCTGAATACCAACAAAAGAGAATATTTGTAGGTCAGGGTTGAAATGAGGGTTCCTTGCTGCTTTCTGAACTTGCTTGTATGTTATATGAATGTTGACACAATTCCTGGTCTGGGAATTGGAATCCTGCTTTTCCTCCCTCTTCCCTCCTCTACACAATACCTTGACACGATCTTCCGTCTTCATTCAGTACAAATCCTGGGTTGCAGGTACAGGAATAGGAGCCAGGTACATTGGCACATAGCTGATGACAGTATCCATAGCGACATTCATCTATATCTAGTAAACAAATTGAATAGAAGTGAAACCTATAGTTGCATTTGCCACATTAGAAAAAAAAATTAGAAGCCAGTATTTCCTTACAATATTTGTTAACAGATTTTAAATAATTATGATATGATCAATAGTTATGTTATTCCGGCTATCACAGTGGTTCTCAACCTTTTTAATGCCGCGACCCCCAACCGGTCGTCAGTCAAGGACTACTCAACTGGTGCAGCACCGTTTGCAGAATGGGACTTTTGGCGGGCTCAGCAGGGCAGAGACAGCCTGGACAATTCCTATTGGCTTTTGAAAGCCAATAGAATTAGACTCTATTCAAGAGAGTCTATTCTATTGGCTTTCAAAAGCCAATAGAATAAAAGGGAGTAGCACAGCTAAGGAAAAGGGGAAAAAAATGGCGGACTGCATTGTTTGGCGACCCCCGTGAAATGGTCGTTCGACCCCAAACGGGGTCCCGACCCACAGGTTGAGAACCGCTGGGCTATCAGATTTTATGCACAACTTTATTTCATCAAATATTGCAATCCCCTTTCATTTAAAGTCTCCTTCAGCAGCTTACTAAGGGCAAGTGGCATCAACACCTTCTTTGTAACTGCACTCTATTTGCTTTTAGCCTAATTCAAGTCATGCAAGCAGGGATCAAACTGTTTGACATGTCTGGAACTTTGGCATTAAGCAAAATCTCTATTTGAGCTTCTGATAAGCATAACACATCTGGGCTTAGATATGAAGGGCCTGATTGCATGAACTGGTGATGAAGACCCAGACTTTTTGCTTCCTGAATCAATGAAAATGGTGCGAACTTTCCATTTTTATGTACAGAAGCCAATTGGCTGGCAGTTGAATCTTATTTCATGCCAGATAACACGATGACGCAATGGAGGAACCAAATGGTAGACAGTTATTTTCATTTTGTTAAGTTCTTCTGAGGAAAGGACCATTGAAATGCCTAAATAGACTTAAAGGTATATAGGGAAAGCCATTTTTGATCATTTCCATGAACTGCCAGATTGTAGACGGGACATTCTAGGAGTTGGACTCTACATACTAGTTAGGGGATAGCTGCTTTAATTAATCTACTATGGTGAAGTTCATATAACACACATTGTTAGGTGGTTGTACTAACTGAATATCTGTTGTTTGTAGAGCATGGCTCAGTTCAATATGCAAATTCAGGCAACTGTGGATTATTTAGCATAAATTTAATTCACAAATTCTTTAGTGGCCACAGATTGTTACAATGCTGTTGGCAAATATTCAAAATCCAGAAGAAAAGAATAACAGATGGTGGATGGATGGATGGAACTAATAGGGAACTAATAGTAAGATGGGTGGCCAATAAAGTTAATAATGAAAAATAAACAAACATATAAATCATTTGGCATAACAGCTAACAGGTTGATTATTGTCCCTTTGGTGCACTTATGTTTTTTTAAACATAGTTAATAACTTTGTTATCTGAGCTCATTGATAGAATAAAAAAATGAATTGACATGAAATTGGGAATAGGAAGGCAACTGTAGCACTATGCGTACTCCAGTTGTACAAAACATATATAAAGAATGTGGTCAGTTTTAAAAAGCTGGAGAAACACAAATCCACAGCAATTGATAACATATGTTATATATTCAGTTAAAATATGTTATTTTACAGCCCAAGGAACCATATCCAAATACTTTAAACATCTTTTAAAGTACACCCTACTTCATATTGTTTTAAAGATAGACTCCCATACTTTGTTAATATTCTCCTTCATTACCTGCTTTACTTTATGTTTGAACTTTTACAAATATCAAAATACATGGACATTTATGTTTTATAAATGTTTATATTTAATACAGTTAAAATTCAAAATTCAACAAACAAGACTGGCTTTTGTCATTCTAACAGCCATCCACCACGATATTTTCACCTGCATTATAAGACTATTTCAGAATTTTTAAAAAGCAGATGTATTTATAGGAACTGCAGCCAGAAAGGATTACTTTATTTCTTCTTTGTTCATGCTAAAGACACAAGTATGCCCAAAAGATAATTTCATTATTTGAAAGAGTTGAAGTCAACAATTCTGATATTGGATTGCATTTTTTTTCTTTGTCAGAAAAGAAGAAGAAAAATAATTCTATTTCCTAATAATTTCCCTAACCACCTGCTTAATTTGGTTTCGATTCTGCTATTTCTCTGGTTTTACAATTGGTTGCATTCTAGACTGTGTTTATTTGCCCAATAATTTCAAGTCCATTACTCTATTCCAAGAGTGCCTTTTGGATGATTCCAACAGTTTTTCATGGAAAATTCTCTGATTATATTCATGGTCTACTTTTTCCAGCACCTCAGTTATTTTAGCAAACAGTGGAAGAGAGTACTAGAAAACATTTCTCTCTATTTCCTGTAAACAAGTCATGATGGATTTTTCTTTCAAATAGAGATGTTTTTTCTCTCTCAAAATGGAATGATTTGCTATAGTTGGGTCAAGTGTAGCCTGGAAGTTCACTATTTTTCAACCTGGGGCTAAGAGGTCAAGTTTCCACCATAAAATGTCTGTGAAATAATAAGGTCATGAACTACTAAAGCTTTGTATCCGGAAGAGGCTTCAAGTGGTTTACTAGCCAAATCTGGGCAAAAACCTTCCTGGTCATGGCTTCTAACTGCTGTTGCAGCCGTTAGTCACAAGTCAAGAGGGGCTTCCAAGTTGCAGACCTGATCCTACAAGATAGTAAAACTCTGTCCAGAGCTAAAGATGGAAGAGTTATGGAGCCTGAGATTTTCTAAACAAACAGTAACTTGCTGGGATTTATTTAGGCCTGTACCATCCCATCTAGCCCCACATAACATCCAGGCACAGCATAGTGACTCCAGCGTCATCTCTTGCTTGGCCTGTGGTGGAGATATAAAAATGAGTATCAGCAATCTGCTGATAGACCAAATCAATGAATGATTTTTTTTAATGTTAAAAAAAGACAGGCCAGGGTCATGAAAAGGTCCAAATAATTCAGTTTAGCCAAAGCCCTTCGTAAATGTTGCTCCATACCTTCTTAATCCTCTCTAAAAAGGAAATATAATATCTTTCTTTGATAGAAAGTAAGGATGAAGTAAACAGCTAATAAATAATAAATAAATGTACTTTTGCCTCCTTCATATCCGAGAGATTGACTCCACACATGACTAAACCGCCTGCTTGATTGTTGGGAAAGGATCCATAAGAAAATTGGGGCAGCCCCTCTTGCTTGTTATCTTTTCTTTGAGAAATTGATGGTGCCAATTAGCCTCATAGTAATCACAGAAAGGTCAACCTGACCCAAAAAATGATGTTGTTCTCCATATCAAGAACACATTCTCACTGTCCCAAAAGCTAGAGCCCAAGAGTGACTCCCTATATATGGTGAGCCCACGATCATATTAACATCATGAGCTCATAACTCATAGTTATCATGAAACTATGAAAATCCAAGGAAATCCTGAACTCGTCCCCTAGATCGAATAAAATCCAAAATACGTAAGATGAGGTTGAATACCTTGGATAAGGAAGCTTCAGTGTGGCAAAAAGGGTGATATATTTAGTTTTTACTTGGTGCATATAGGAATCCATATCCAGCAACCTGTGGAGCAGGGCAATTGACCACTATCCATTTTAGTTAAATGCTTAATTAAAAGCACCTAGATTTGGCACCAGTATAAAAGAAAATAATAAGAGGAGTATTCTAAAGATGTTGCTTCATTCTGCAAAAAGAATAAAATAATCACAATGGCTTGCAATTTAAAAGCATGATGCAACAGAAAAAGGAATGAAAACAAACTCTTTCCTTGCTCATTCATATATAAGAGAGAGTCGGGCAGATACACGCACTCTGGTCATCATGTCTATATGATGAGCAGAGGAATGTGGCAGGAAATTGTTCTGAAGGGAGAGAAGCCAGATATCTGCTGTTCCCAGTAAGGTTGTTAGACTGAACTAATGTATTTCACCATCTGATGAAATCAGCTGGAAAAGCCAGTCACAGCCAACAAAAGCAATGCATTCAAAGCAAAGAATCCATTATAGAACCGTCCTGGTGTTTCAGCTAGTTTATTCCTTTGATAATGTTTTGGGGGCTCTTAAAAAAGTCGCCCAAATTTCATGCCCTTTCATATAGCATTCTAAAAAAAAAAATCCTCTTGATAGTTGGAATTCATGATCTCATCAATTGATAAACATGTCATGACTATGACAGTACTGTTTGCTAATGTAACACCATAATTTGGCTATGTGCTGGTATTGTGCAACTAAATACAAGTAAAAGGAATGTTTTCCACATTAATCAAGAGAGGAAAATATGTTAATCTATTGATGCCAGTTATGTCCCTTGGAATATGCACAGAATCTGGAGAGGGACATTCAAGTAACACTTTCAAGAATAGTAGTTCTCAAGTCATTGCAGGCAGTCCTCATTTAGCAACTGCCTCATTTAGCAACCATTCACTGTTATTACAGTGTTGAAAAAGTAATTTTGCAGGCTTGTAAAGAAAAAAAAGCTGAAGTAAGATAAGCACAGTCACAGTTTCACTTAATCACCACTTTGCTTAACGATCAAGCTGCCAGACCCAATTGTGGTTACTAAATGAGGACTACGTGTATTGAAGTCATAAGCTATTTTTTCTCAACCTCACTTGTAACGTAAAGTTCCCTTTCTTTCCCCATCTATCTTTGTTATCCTTTAATAGAAGTTTGAAGAGAGAGGGTCACTGGTATTTCTTCTGGGAATCATGTAGAAATTCCAGATAGCAGTTTCTAAAAGAGTAGCTGATCCCATTGTAACATACCTAAGCATTGGCCTTCTAAAAGCCAATATCCTTCAGTGCAGGAACAAGTATATCCTCCTTCAGTGTTGATGCAGATTTGGGTAGGATTGCACTGATGTGATTCAGTTGCGCATTCATCGACATCTGCAATGCAGATAATAATTAAGGATTACTTGATTATTGAGAAGAAAAGCAACATTTATTTTAAGTTCTGGTCCCATCCCTTGTGATACAGCATAAAAAGATTCATATAACTAAATAAATCAAAAGAAATGCCAAAATACAGTTGGAGTTGCTTTAAGAATGTTTCTGAGGCGGACTTCCGGTGGATTTTGCGTGCGTGATGGCGGCTACTTTGTAGCCGTCCTCCTGGGTAAGTGTAAGAACCGCTATGAACAGCAGATATCAGCTGTTCAGCGGTTCAAAATCCCCCTCCCGGGCAAAGGGGGGGGGGTAGAGAGTGTCTGAATAGTGGTAGAGCCTCTTTCTCACCCCCCAAGTTTTTTTTTGGGGGGGGTGAAAGGAGTGCTCCCACGGAGTTCAGACTTGTCTCCGCTTCCCAGCTGTTTTTGTCCTCAGGGACAAAACGAGCCGCCGCAAACACCTCCGTGCTTACAGAGAACTGGTGAGTTTTTTTTTTTTAAATGGACAGAGCTGAGTAGAGGATTTAGTTTTTGCTTTCTTTGACTTATTTGGATTTTAAGTTTTAAGATTTGTTTCTAGTTTTATTCTCTCTTTTTATTTTTTTTCTTTGTTGAAAGGGAAAGTAAAATGGCGATCGGCAAACTCCTCGGTGTTTTTTTTTCTGGAAGTTAGAATGCTGACCGGCAGGCTTTTTGGTGTTTTTCTTTCTTTCCTTTCCCTTTCTCTTTTTATTTCCTTATGATTGGAATGGTTGTTTTTGGTATCTCTAAGTATTTTTTTTGGAACGGACTTTTTTTATTTAATTTTTTTTTTTTTTTTCCTTCTCCCTTTTTTTTTCCTTTGAACTCCCCTTTTTTTTTTATTGTAATGACCCTTTTTTGAAGGACTTTTTTTCTGTTTAATTTTTTGTAATTTTTAAGAAGGAGTAAAACTTTTTTTTAATTCTTTTTCTCTTCCTTTTTTTCCCTTTTTTCTTTTTATTATAATGACCTTCTTTGGAGGGAGTTATATTTTTGAAGGAATTTTTATAATTGCTTAAGAAGGACTACAGGTTTTTCTTTAAGATGGCTCCAAAGCGTCCAGGGATTTCTACAGTTTCTAAATCAACAGTTTCACCCTCTTCTGGGGGTCAGCTAATAACTATGAAGGACTTGCAAGACATGATGGGAGATGTTATAATTCAAATTAGGGCAGAAATGAAAAAGATTTTAGAGGAAAACAATAAGATCTTGAGACAAGATTTTGTTTTGGCTTTAGAAGGTGTTGATTCTGTTCTTGAAAAGGTGAACTCCCATGTGGAAGAGGTAGCTGAAAAAGTGGACATAATGGAGGGGAAAATTGAAAGTATGGAAAAAGAAATGGAAAATGAGATTCTTATGCTTCAATAGGGACAAATGGAATATGCCTTAAGAATTAGAGGCCTGGGAGAGTCTTTGCAAGGAGATCTGAAGGAGATGGTTGCAAAGGACTTTGCATTGATTTTGAATAAAGAAAAAGAGGGAATACTTAATGAAATTGAAAAATTATTTAGGGTTAACTCTGTGGTGGCAGCACAGACGAATCTGCCAAGAGATGTGGTAATTTACTTTGGTAAAAGATCTTTACGCAATGAAATTGTGCAAGCCTATTATAAGAAGAGATTTCAAATTGCTTCACAAGATGTTATAATTTTTAAAGAGATCCCATCTAAAATTTTAAGAAGAAGAAAGGAGTTTGCTTTTTTAGCAAATGAACTTAAAAAGAGAAAAATTTCATTCAGATGGGATGTTCCGATTGGAATGGTGGTGAATTACCTGGGGAAATGTTATAGACTTAATACTGTTTTTCAAGCAAAAGATTTTTATACTTCGGTCCTGGGGGTATGTGCATCGCCATCAATTAAGTTTAAAGCTTTGGAAGAAAAGAATGTAGAATCACAGTTTGAAGAGCCTATATTTATGAAAACTGGAGAATCTTTGTGTGAGAGGCCTCAACAAGTCCAGGTTGAGGAGCAGAAGATAACTTGTGTAGTATATAATCCCAAAGAAAAGCAGCAACAGAAGAAGGTTAAGGAAGTTTCATATTTAGTGGTTTCTGAATCTCTGGGAGATGTTAGATCTACAAAGTCTTTGGAGCAATCTTTAAGGGTAGAATTGTTGCCTGAAATGGAAACTGGGAAATCTCAGTCTGAGGGGCATCAACAAGAGAGGAACGGGCAGAGGATAACTTGTACAACTTACAATTGTAAAGATCAATACAAGGAGGAATTTAAGGAACCCTTATTGGCTTCGGAGTTGATGGGAGATTCAGGAATTTTGGAGCAGTCTCCTAAGGCAGAACTTGCAGCATTTCTTACGAGTTTGATACAAGAATGGAGAAGGGAAATGGAAGAATTGAAGAATGGAGAATGGAAAAAACTGGAATGTGAATAATTAATAATACTAATATAATTGAGATTGATAAGGATGTAGTTTTTTACGGAGGGAATTAGTTATTGGTGAAGATTGAAATGTTTAATGTGTTTATTAACTTTGTTGTTTTAAGTTTTGAACCTTTAATGATAATATTGTTTAAATTTGTGTTTTGAAGGGATTATAATTTGCTTATTTTAGTGAGTGGATTCTAATATTTTAAATTTTAAAAATTTGTGGTTTTGGAGGGAGTTTAGATAGAGTGATGAGTGTATTTAGATTTGTTTAGGATTTAAAAGTGTTTTTAGTTTTTAAATATTATTATTAATATTTTTAAGACAAAATAATTTGTTTAATTAAATGTGCTTAGATTTGTTTAGGACTTATAGGTTTTTTAAGTTTTTGTTTTTTGTTTTTTTTTTCTTTTTTTCTTCTTTTTGGATAGGAGAGAAGATTATGAAGATTGAAGGAAATATGTACTTACTTTAAGTTCTTTAAGAGTATTTAGCTTTAATGGTATAACAAAGATTTGTATGTTTATTTTTTCGTTTTAGGATAAAGAAAGAGGGAGAAATTAGATTTTATATTATAGATATAGATATTCAAAGAAAGTAATGTTTAAATTTGTGTTTTTGGAGGGAGCTTATATAGACTGATGATTGTATTTAAATTTGTTTAGGTTTTAAAAGTGTTTTAAGTTTTTTTTTTTTTTTAATTAAGCCTGTACTCAGCTCTGGGAAGTCCAGGGGAGGGTTTGGGAGGTTGGGAAGGGGGGGGGGGGGAGGTAGGGGGGGGTATGGGAAGGGGATTTGTTTTTGTAAAATGTAAAAATTTTCAATAAAAAAAAAAAAAAAAAAGAATGTTTCTGAGGCATTGGAGATAATTCACTCTGTGCCAAGAGCTGAATGAATCAAAATCATTGGCAGTTCAGAAGAAACATCTCCACCCATCAGATACTCTGTCTCTTATCAAATTGATTCAGTGTCAGGGGGTGTTCATAATTTCTTGTGTTACATTGACTGGTCCAATTCCTGGAAAACAACATTTCTGAATGCATACCAACTCAGCATCCAGCATCCTGTTTCTCTCCTTGTTTCATTACATTTGTTTTTACAGAGAAGAAAACCCAAGGGATGGTAAGAGCTGCTGCAAAATCATTCTTCAGCATTATTTAGGAAACCTGGTATAGTAGTACTGTTGTTTAGCAGTTGCAAAGAAAAGAAAGCTAATGAGATAGAATTTAGGAAGAAACCTCATCAGTGGGGGCAAGATGGTGATGATGATAATTTATAGGCTGCCCATCTCATATAAATAACTCTTGCCAGCTCACAATCAAAACACAATTAAAACAGAATATAAACAGTGAAACACAACCAAAATAGCTGAAACAAAAACAACATAAAAATAGCTGAGAAAACCCACAACTGATGATACAGGATCATCCATACCATCAGGGCCCCAAGCTTAATGACAAAGCCAGGTTTTTATGCCCTGCAAAAGAGCAACATGGCTGGGGCAAGTCTAATTAGGCGAGAGATGTTGTTCCAGAGGATATGAGTCACAGCACAAAAATGCTGCCCTCCTAGATACTGACAGGTGACATCTTTTCATAGACACAAAGCATGCCTCTCCTGCCTTGAATTTTATATTAAAAATGCAGAATAAAATAATAATATTAATAATTGTCAATAACAAAGACAAAGAAATGTGGATGGTGGATAATGCAGTACCTGGAGACAGCAGAATAGAAGAAAAACAATGGACAAAATACAAAGACCTGCAAATAGAAATAGAAGAACTATGGCAAAAGAAAGCAAAGATGGTGACAACAGTAATAGGTGCTTGAGTACAATCCCCAAACAACTAGAGTCCCACTTGAACACCATCAGCATTGACAAAATCGCCATCAGTCAATTGTAAAAGGTAGTTTTACTTAAATATATTCCACTGAATATTGTCAGTAGGAAAGGGGGGGGTATTAATGAGAATCACCACTCAGAACCAGAAACTGAACCCATCTCAGTCTTCTGTAGCCCATATTTAACTTAAAATCAGATTAGAATAGGTGATTGAGGTGAAATAAAAAATGTAATAGGAAAAAAGCAAACACAACTGTTCTAGAAAAGACAGTAGTGTGTAGGCTTATTGACCATAGGAAGCTACAGTAGGTATACAAAGCCCGAACAATATCAAATCAAACAAAATTGAGAGGGAAGAAGAGAGAAATCACACACACAAGTGTTCCAAGGACATTCTTTGGCATCTTTTTGTTCTTTGGAAAACTATTACTAAAGTAAATGGACCAGAGAGTATTGTGCAAACACAATTTCCCCATTCAATTGCTCAGTTTAATGCAACCCACCAATCTGCTGCCGGGGCCTTGAATAGGAACATCCCTGAAATATATAACCAAATATGGTTTATCAAATTTTTCACTTTTGTCTTTTACAAAGAATTTGTCTGATGGGCCAAGTTAGAAAGTAATGACCATGTGTGACCCAGAGATAGATCATCTGCAATGCTAATACTGCGTTAACATGAAAGAACAGCACAGTTTCAATGTTAATTGTATGTAACCTTCACCCAAATGGACTTCTTGTACTCACTAAG